GGTGCTTGTGGTCGGGTTCCGGGCCGGCTTGTCTCCCACTTCCTTTCTTTTGTTTCCCACTTCTTTTCATTCCCCAAACAGTTTACTGTTAGGGGTTCTAGCATCATGTTCGCGCTTGAAGAATAATTCCCCAAAAGGTTTACTGTTAGGGCTTCTCACTTCTTTCTTAAGATGTGTCCCCCCGCTCTGTACTGCTGTGTCCGTCTCTGCCTTGCAATCCTTTACATTTATCTCCCAGCTCTGGACGTCGCAAGCTCTAGTTTCGATTTTGAAAAACACAAACTGTTTGGGGTCTACGGTGGTGTAATTTAATTGAGGTCACCATCAGCGCCACAGTGACCAAGAGAAGCGAATTGCTTGAAGAGGAAATCTCAATGAAGAAACTCAGGCCATCAGATGATTCAAGCAAGAAGGCCAAGACCAACATGGTGAAAGTTTGAGATGAAGATCTTCACCATGTAGATGAATAGTTATCCCCAGTTGCACAAGAAGGTGATGAGGAGGAGTGGGGTGATGAAGAAGATGAACCAGATTTGGGAGAAGTAAATGGACCTGAATGCTTGTGGCGCGATGGAGAACATGAGCCTCAAGGATGTCCAGGAATGGATAGACAGAGTGGCTGATGAAGTGGAAGAGAAAAGACCCCAGAAGATGCAAGCGCTAGGGAAACCAGAAGGCAGCACAGAAGGAATCAGTTACTTGACAACAGGCAATGTTTATGACTGGGGGAAGAAACAGTATCAACTTGGAGGTTGCGTTTCAGTCAAGAGGTGGAGGAGAAGGTCAAGACTGGTGAAAAGGAACTTACCTGGACAAAGAGTTGGAGCAAAAGCATATTTTGATTTTTTCACACAGTACCACCCCACAGGAATTCAATTACGAGTTCAGTGCGGGGTGTCCATGCCTAGGACGAAATGAGAAGGCATCGTTTTGATTCACGTGGATCTTCACAGGAGACTCAAAGTACATCAATGAAATCTTGCTTCCAAAGACTCAAGGCAAATTTGACGCCAGCGTGAGCAAGATTGAGGGGATTGCTGATGGGTTCAATTTCCTGAGGAGAATGTACAAGCTAAAAGTTGATGGGCAAGATCAAACTTCAGCCATTTTCCGTCAGCCCGACTTGTCATTTCATATGGAAGACAAACCAGAGGCAGTGAAGGAATTGGCTTCAAGAATGTCAAATCCCACAGCTACGCCATTTCACCGCTTGAAGAAGTTCTTAATATACTTGAAGAAGACTATGGACTATTGTCTAGTACTTGAATTTCCACAAGCAGGCCCCTAGGAGGGTATGTCAGGAAAGGAGAAAGCTACTGGCGCTTGGAGACATTCTCAGATTGAGGCTGGGGTGGAAACAAAAGTCACGGAAAGTCAACATCAGGAGGATTTCATGCACTGAATAGTTGCCCATTGTTCAACAGCAGCGGGGCACAGAAGACCATTATAGCTCATCTCCACATGAAGCAGACTTTGGGCTATTGTCTAGTACTTGAATTTCCACAAGCAGGAGAAGGTCGTGTCAAGAAAGGAGAAAGCTATTGGTGCTTGGAGACGTTCTCAGATTCAGACTGAGGCGGAAACAAAATCTACAGAAAGTCAACGCCAGGAGGGTTCAATGCGTTGAGCAGTTGTCCATTGTTCATCACTAGCTTATCTTCATGTGAAGCAGAACTACATGCAACAGTTTCCTCAGCATCAGATGGACTCTAAATTCGCGCAGTTCTAGAATTTGCTCTTTGGACAAAGGTGGACCATTACATTTTCACCGATTCATCACGCGCGCGCCAACTTTTGCGACGAAGAGAGGAGTTGGAAAAGTGAGACACTTGGATGGAAAGTTGCTGTGGATTCAGAGCAGGAAAGACTTCCAGATGATACAAGTACCAACAGATAGCAATATGGCAGACATCGATACAAAGCCACTTGGAGGACAAAGAACCAGATACTTGATGAACCTCATTGGTTACTGGCGCAGTGAAGATCAAATCAGAGTAGGAGAGTATGAGAGAAGGGTATTGGAAGAGAAGAAGGACTTTGCGGGAAAGGTCGCTAAGATTGCCAAAATGATTGCCAGAACGGTTGCTTTTGAGGGCTTGCAGCCAATGATTACAGAAGCATCCCTGAAAGGAGACAACATCCAGTGTGGATTGGACGCGGTGAAGAAATCCAAAGAAGAATGGAAATTCTGGATTGTCATGATCATTGTGTTCAACATTGTTGGTTTTCCAGCAGTGATCTTTGTACTCTTCAAGATCTACAAACACGTTGAGATCAGCTATTTCAGTGTGGTGGACCCAAACCGCTTCAAGGCTTCAGAAGAGTGGAGAAGGAGATTGAAATACTTAAAAGCAAGATTGGTGACAATGATGGATCAGAACTTGAAGAGAGAATCAATATTCTACACAACTACACCAGGATAATTCTTTGTGGTTTGATTCTCAATGGAGGCTTTGTTGAACATGAGGCGCCAGACCTTCAAACAATTGTCAGTTACGATGCACTAGGAGAGTTGAACGCAGGAAACTTCTTAGCCAGAAGGAGCTTGGAAGATATGCAAGGAACAGAAGGACAATGTTAGGAACACCGAGTAATGTTGCAGGCAGCTACAGATGGAGCAACACCATCAGAAGGACCGTTGAACAGAATGCTCAAACTAGGAAACAGGGAGATACCAACAGGGAGATATCAATGAGAGAACCATACATTGCAGAGAAAGCAAGCCAGATGTGTGGCCGACTTGGAGCAAAACTTGAGCAACTCAATGAAAGACATTGGAATCTCGTGAGTAGAGGCTTGCAGGAGGCAGCAGATGCGGCAGAAAAGGAGATGGAGAAGGATCAAGACTTGTTAGAACGCGCAGGTACACGGAGAAATTATCCAGATAGACCAAAAACAGATGTGGGAACCCAGCTCCTGAGAGGGATGACTAAGCCTGCAGAGAAACAAGAGTTGATGATTTGAATGGAAGAAAATGGACTATGGTGGCACAGTGAGCTCAAAAGAAGCATCTTAGAGTTTCACAGCGCCAAGAAGGAGTGTGAACCATTTTCCACACAGACCACAGTAGAGATGCGCAGCATGACCAGCATCATGAAGTATGCACGACACCACTGCGCAGCCCTTTTTGTGAATCAAGAAAAGGTGCGTATATATACATATATACTATAGTAGGTACAGATTATATTTTGAAACTGGACACGTTGCCACGTTGCCTATCAATGGCGGACCAAGACCCAACTGTTGTTTTGACGTGTATTGCTGTCGTTTAGATCCCGTGCAACCGGGGTTTGAAGTCAAGGTGCCAATTGTTCTTCGAGGTGGCATAATGGAAGTCAGAGAAGACGTCGTCAGCAGCTGAGTAAAGAGTTGGTGGGGCTTTGCGTTTGTGAACAACGTATGCCATCGGAGAAACTGTCAGTGGGTATTAGCTTGAACACTTTTTGGCAGATACTGAGCGTTCTTGCCAAATTGGGTGTGATAATGTAGCCGTGACATGATTGCCGCCAGGTTACTGTGCTTACCAATGACGCAGAACGGGGTGCAGAGATACCAACTCCTGAGGAACTGCTGTGGAACCAGTGTATTGCAAGAGCTCTGTGCGTCTTGAAGCATTCTACAACCTGAACTAAACAACAAAAGCACGTTCCCTGGATGGAAGGAAGGAAGGAAGGAAATGGTCATCTCCCAATCAGTGTGACTAGCGCAAAGTCAGTCCCAATCAAGAAGAACCTCAATGAATTCCGTAAGGGTGCCTTGACCATTTTTGCCCAACACCACCACGAAGAATGTTTTCAACCATGAAAAGCATCTCGCCTCAACAAAGACTCTTGCTGTGGCTCCATGAGCATCGGCTGGTGCGCTTTGGGTCGCGAATCGTGGGTGAGGTTTTTCTGTTTCCAAGGGACACGGGTCCGCATTTTCAGCGCCGAGTCTCTCCTCAAGCAGCCTTTGCCAGAAGGGTTCAATCAAATGTGGGAGAGCTCAAGAGTTTTCTTTATGTTGTTCTATATTCATGCCTTCGCTGGATTCTCGCGCGTGGCAGGAGGCAAGGCGTGCGCTTGAAAGATGCACGGAGACGCTGAGCTGCGCCTCCGGGACTGAACACCCAGACTGTTATTGCTAAACGGGGCACCAAACGTAGTCACGAAGTTTTGGTTTCTCACGGAGGGAGGTCCGGCCAGGTGAAATTATGGGACCTATTTCACATTATTTCACCAATTACGGCAAACATCATTTGCCCTTAATTGATAGCTACCGGCAATGCAAAACCAAACGAACACATCAGAATGACCCCGCGTGGCTTCAAGGTTGCCCATGTCACTGCTGCAAAACCCAGCTTTGGGATCTAGAGCTCCGCGAGAAACACATAGCGCACTGTGGGTCGGCGCGTGGACAGTTGACTATGTGATGGGGAAAGCGTTGGCAGTTCTTCACTTTGGCCGTGTCTGAGTTTCCAGTGGACGTGTGTTTTATCCAAACAGTGTGGTTACACTGGGGGTTCTCACGGTAAGGGTTAAGGCCGGGCTTTTGATCGGAGGTGCAGCGGAAGAGCCCGGCTAATTGGCTGCTATTTACGGTGCATTCATTCACCTCGAGATCTTCGAAGTGCCCTTTCCACTGTGAAGGCTCGCAGAATCTGGCTGGCGCGAGTGGATGCATTCTTGAGTTGTGCGCTGTGCGCATTTTCGGGCTTGGCGGCTTGGCAGGCGCTTTTCGTGGCAGGC